CCTCTGCATCAGCACTCCTGTATCCCTTGGGTAAATTCCTAGCAGTGCTACTGCTGGGTCATAGGGTAGGTCTATTTTTAATTTTATGAGGAACCTCCACACTGCTTTCCAGAGCGGCTGCACCAATTTGCATTCCCACCAACAGTGCAAGAGGGTTCCCATTTCTCCACATCCTCTCCAGCATCTATAGTCTCCTGATTTGTTCATTTTGGCCACTCTGACTGGCGTGAGGTGATATCTGAGTGTGGTTTTGATTTGTATTTCCCTGATGAGGAGCGACGCTGAACATCTTTTCATGTGCCTGTTGGCCATCCGGATGTCTTCTTTAGAGAAGTGTCTATCAGGCTACGTTTCTTAAGTGATGCATTCTGAGTTTTGAACAGATTTACCAATGAAATTTCAACACAGGCATATTCGTAAATTGAAGACTGCCCAAATCAATGTTAAGCATCCACTGCAGAACCATACTGCCTGGTTTCAAATCACTTACCAGATGATGACCTCAAGCTAGTAACTTAAACTCTTTATATGTCCTATCTTTTTTTTTTCTTTTTTAACATTTATTTATTTTTGAGAGACCGAGCAAGACAGAGCACGAGCAGGGGAGGGACAGAGAGAGGGAGACACAGAATCCGAAGCAGGCTCCAAGCTCCGAGCTGTCATCACAGAGCCCGACGTGGGGCTAGAACTCATGGACCACAAGATCATGACCTGAGCTGAGGTCGGAGGCTTAACCGACTGAGCCACCCAGGCGCCCCTATATGTCCTATCTTCAATGCGTATAATAGTAGTTCTCTCCTAATCTCAAGTGTTTTGAGGATTAAATTGGTTAGTACATATCATGAACCAAGAATAGGACCTTGCACAGGCAGTACTGTGAGAAATCAAGATGATAGGCCTGTATTAGTGTCATTTCAATGTGTGAAAATTTGAAATTTTTGTCATGAGATACTTTTAGATGACATTTTATTTCATTTTAATAGTTGAGTAACCCAAAGAGGACTGTTACTTAGTTCACAGATTTTACATTATTGTGTATTAGAAAAGTATATTTTAATTAGAATATTTAGTGTAACTGTACCTAAAATGTTCTCAGTTTTGTTTTTCATATTTTAATTTTATTTCCAATGTTGTTTCTTGGGTGTATATTATTTAGGAGAAAACAGTTTTTGGCCAAGGAAAAAAGGAACATCTTCATTAAAATCAGATGCTGCGCTGTCAAAATCAAAACGAAGAAAAAAAACAGATAGGGTTTTTGAAAACCAGGAGGTCCAAGCTATTGGTGGCAAAGATGTTTCACTCTTTCTCTTCAGAGCTTTGGGGAAAATACTATATTGTAAAAGTAAGAAAATCTTACATTTTATTAAAAATCTGTTAGGTATTCGTCCTACAACAGAAATAAAATACCAGTTTTTGAAAATGTCATGTATTTGGCAGTTAGGGCCAGGTCTGACACTGTTTGGCAAGGCCTAAGACACAGTAGGTAAATGTATTTAGGTACAGTATTTTTGGACTGTGGATGGGATTAAATGTAAAAACTACTGTCTGTAAATCTTTAAAATTATAGTTTGCTGAAGGCAAACTATGTATCAGTTCCTCTAGAATTTTAGTGGCACATGTTGGTAGCCCAACACCAGAACCCTAGACAAGTTGTCAGGTAGCGTCAGGCTTCTTTGGATCTCCTTACATTTCTCTTCACTAGCTGCTCTCTCCACAACCAGAGATGTTCCGTCGCCCTTTTCTGTATTTGATGCCTGGTTCCCCTCCGACCCTCCATCTGCATCACCCATCACCCAGCTCCCAAATTGCCTCTCTTTTCAATAAAATCCCAAACTTCTATTTCTTATGTAGAAAATATCACTTCTTAGCTGATCCTGAAGGAAGAGAATTAGGATTGGGGGCTGGGGGGGTGGGATCTGACCTGCTTTTATGTAGATTAAAGTAATTCATACAAAATTTTGAGGGAAACTGTTGCCATAGTTTATAAATTTTTTTTAATGTTTATTTTTGAGAGAGAGATAGAGTACAAGCAGGGGCGGGGCAGGGAGAGGGAGACACAGAATCTGAAGCAGGCTCCAGGCTCTGACCTTTCAGCCCAGAGCCCGTCGCGGGGCTCGAACTCATGAACCATGAGATCATGACCTGAGCCAAAGTCGGACCCTCAACTGACTGAGACACCCAGGTGCCCCTGCCATAGTTTATAATAGTTTTATATGTTATACCACAAAGTAAATAATCATAATGGACTATTGAAAAAAGTCCTTTGTGTACAATGGCTTCAATTTTCTCTCAGATGTTCAAATCTCGTGTAAATTAACTGCTTCAGTGGGTCACAAGTAGTATGTGAACAGACATTCATTTAAGCTTTGTGTTTATCATGCCTGTTACTATCTGAGATTTTTTTCTGGTTGCCAAAAGCCCAGTTGTTTTAAACCACTGTTTTTATCTTTCTATAACACTGAGTGCCTCTTATACCTGTTTTCCATCTTCTTACCTCCTTGCCTCTTTCTCTTCTGTTGTCTTTCTGTATTTCTGCTTCATTCTCTCCTCACTCCAGGCATCCTTCTTGTTTTAGGCTATTACCTCTCACTTTCTTCTTTCCAGGTGGTTGAAAATTTGAGATTTCTAAATGGAAAATTTCATGCCACCTGAAGATGAACCTGGCATCACTTAGGTGGAAATGAAGACACCCTCTGTCCTTGGATCCTCTTACCTCTGAACCTCAGTGGCTATTCCCACTGATACTTTCCCTTCTACACTTTCTTTTCCTTCTTAACATTCATTTGCAGCTTCCTGCATCAGGGAACAGGGTCTGTGTTCTCTTGTGCAGAAAGCAACCTCATCCTACATCGTAAATAAAACAGTAAAGATCTTTATATTGAGAATGAGGATCAAAAGAAAGCAACTCAGAACTGAAAAGGTGAAATGCAGAGTGCTTTGAGAACTGGAATATTTTAATACTAGAAAAGCCATAATCCAGGTGTCAGAATTCTAATTTGAGTTCTTAAGAATAGTGATAGTGAGGCTACCAACTATATACATATAGTAGCAAGGCGCTGTAGTAGTGAGGCAACTTACATAGGTCTCCAGTTGCTTTGTTTTTATTTTTAATATCTTATTTAGTATGTTTGGTATCATGTGCCTAAAGTATTGGAAAAAAATCTTCAAATGAGTGGTTCTATATAACTTTAAGGTGATGTTATTTTTAATAATTCCAGAATTTTTTTTTTATAGGAGCATCTTTAACAGAATTAGATTCCCCTCGGTTGCCTTCACATTTATCAGAGTATGAAAGGGATACCTTACTTGTTCAACCTGAGGTAAAGTCTTTCATAACATATACTACTTTTTCCAGGATATATATTAGTTACATTTATGGAAATGTCCGTTTAACCACAGAATTTTCACCAAAATAATATGTGTATGCTTCTTTTTATAGGAAGTAGTAGAAATGTCACATATGCCAGGAGAATTATTTAATTTATATCTTCACCAAAACTACTTAGATTTCTTCGTGGAAGTAGATGATGTTATGAGAGCCAGTGAATTTCTGAGTTTTGCAGATATCCTCAGCGGTGACTGGAATGTAAGACCATTTGACTTAACCATTTTTGTTTATGAATGTTTCCTCCAAATGGAGAAAGCTTGCTTTTATTCCTCATTATTGGACATCTTATGTAACTTCTTAATAACAATGATAAAATTATTTAATCCAACTCAGTGTTTCTAATGACACCGGTTAATCTGATTTTTTTGGTGATAATATAACACTAATTTTTCTGAAGTTATTTTCTGATTATAAAACTAATATATTCAGAAATTTTGACAACCATTGAAAAGTAGATAGGGAAGAAGTGTGTTTTTTATACTTTCTGTTACTTTTTTAAACAATTTTTTTCATAACTTTCAAATTATTCACTATAAAATTTTTATTTTTTCTTAACATTTTAACACAGCTCTGATCAATGTAATAGCCACTAGCCACATATGGCTATTTACATTAGGTTAAATTTAACTTAATTTAAAATTCAGTTCCTCAGTCACACTGGCCACATTTCCAGCATTCCATAGCTGCATGTGGCTAGTACCACTGTGTTAAACAGCTAGATACAAAATGTTTTTGTTACAGAAAGTTCTTTTGGACAACATTGTTTTAATATGTTAATATTTCTGTTATAAATTTGAAATAGTATTAATAATTAAAATTGGAAAAGATACAGTGAAAAACATGTATGATATGGTTTCTGTATTTAGAGTTTCATTATTCAGCAGTTGCGTTTGCTTAATTTTTCTTATATTTTTTATTTTAAAACTTTCTAACCTATAGACTAATGGAAGAATAGTATGATGAATGCCTATATACCCTTAGCTTTTGTTCACCAATTTTTCACATTTTGCTACATTTGCTTAATCTCTATGTGTTTATACACTTGTTTTGGCCCAATATTTGGAAAGTAATTGCAAACATCATGTCACTTAATACTTATCCATGTGTAAGGACCTTGCCCTATTATAACCATAATGGCATTTATCACACTTAAGAAAACTAACATTGGGGTCCCTGGGTGGCTCAGTTGGTTGAGCATCTGACTTCAGCTCAGGTCATGTTCTTACAGTTCGTGAATTTGAGCCCCGCATCAGGCTCTGTGCTCACAAGCAGTTCAGAGTCTGGAGCCTGCTTCAGATTCTGTATGTCCCTCTCCCTCTCCCCACCTCTGCTCATGCTCTGTCTCCCCCAAATAAATAAATATTTAAAAAAATTAAAAAAAAGAAAACTAACATTAATTCAGTAACATATTGTCATTATTTCGATTTCCCCCGTTGTCTCAAAATGTATTTTAAGTTATTTTCAACACCCATATCCAAGATCCATAGTTCACACATAGTGGTTGATTGTTATGTCTCAGTTGAATTTGATTTAGGTAATTTTGTAGCTTATTATTTTCAGGGTTGTGGTAATGTTGGAAAAAGTGAACACTAAATAAATATAGTTGGTGGTTTTTTTGGCATCAGCAAGATGAATAGCACTACTTTATAAATCTCTCATTTTCATTATTTTACATTTTGTCTCCTTTTTTAGATACGCTCCTTACTCAGGCAATATACTACATCCATAGCTACGAGGGGTGTGATGCATTCCAATACAGCACGAGGATTTGCTCATTGCCAAGGAGGAGTATCAGGTTTTCGACCCTTGCACAAGCCTCAGTGGTTTTTCATAAGTAAAAAGGTAAAAAAAAAAAAAAAAAAAAAGAATTGTGTACTTTAGTAGGTAAACTTTATGGCATGTGAATTATATCCCAATGAAGCTGTTACTTTTTTTTTTAGTTTTGAAAAAGTGTCTTAGTAGTAGTAAAAAATAGTTGTTAATTCCCACAATTTTCTTCAAATTACATTAAGACATAAAAAGGACACTCTTCTTGAATACCCAGTCATTACTTTTAAGGAAAAAAAGCACTCAAATTTTGAAAACTTATATTTTATTTATTAGTTGACTAGTAGTGAATTCAAAGTATCATTATAATTATTTTTTAATTTTAATTGAAAATAGGGGCATCTGGCTGACTCGTTTTGAAGAGCATGAGACTCTTCATCTCAGAATTGTGAGTTCAAGCCCCACATTGAGTCTAGAGATGAAAGGAAGGAAGGAAGGAAGGAAGGAAGGAAGGAAGGAAGGAAGGAAGGAAGGAAGGAAGGAAGGAAGGAAGAAAAAGAGAAAAGAAAAGAAAGAAAGGAAAGCAATCCTGGGATTGCTTCTAACCATCTGGACAGATTATTTTACCTAATGTATACTTCATTTCCACAGCTTTAAATGCATTGGATTGAATTAGAAGTTAAAAATAGGTGGTCCCACAAGTTGAATACTACACACAGAGATTTTTTTTTCATGAATTTCCAGTCTTTAAAAATGAGTATAATAATTAAAACTCAGATATGGATTTCTGGCTCAGAATGTCTGGACTCTCCTGAAATAAATGCAAAGTAAGGCAGCACTGGCCTATATTTTTACATGGCAACAATCTGGCCGAGCCAAATAGCATCTCCCCTTTGAAGATGGGAGTGATGGGTACCTTCCCCAGATGCTTCACTGCACTGATTTATGTACCTGCCTGTCTCCTAGAGCATCTGAATTTGTGACGCGGAACTGCATCATCTCTAAGATATCTTCCAGTTCTTTTTAAAAAAAATTTTTTTTAATGTTTATTTATTTTTGAGACAGAGGGAGACTGAGTGAGAGTCGGGGAGGGGCAGAGAGAGAGGGAGACACAGAATCTGAAACAGGCTCCAGGCTCTGAGTTGTCAGCACAGAGCCCGATGCGCGGCTCGAACCCACGAACCATGAGATCATGCCCTGAGCCAAAGTCAGATGCTTAACTGACTGAGCCACCCAGGTGCCCCACATATCTTCCAGTTCTTAAATCATATGGCTAAATAGGAGCCTGTAATTCATTACCTAAGACATTTTTTCCAAAGATTTCTTGGGGAATTTCATGACTTGTAATGAATTTGTATCCCTTATTGACTTGCTTTGCTATTTATAGCACTTATATTAATTTTGCCGTATAGTTACATATGAATTGTTTGTAAAACCATAAGCTCTTTGAAGGCAGATTGTACTTGTCTCCTTATCAGCCTAGCATTGTACCATGTTAACTAAAGAATATTAATTCTTTAATTGAGAACAGTATCCTCACATAATTTGTGATGTATGCTCATAAACAGAATTCCTTTGATTTTTAAGGTTTATTTTCCTTCTACCTTAAGTTTCTTAAAAAATTCTTGTTGCTGTTATGTCAAATATGAAATAGTTCTATAGGTAAAATGCTTAATTAGATAAGGCTAGAACAATTATAAAAACCTAATTAGGTAAACTCTTAAAAGTATGTTTCTGGTATGTATAAACACACTTTGTGATACAGTAAACTTCATTTGTCTAGGAATACATCTCCATTTTTTTTAATTTTATTTTTCATTTCATGTTCCCCCCCACTTCTATACAGTTTCGGGAAAACTGCCTGGCAGCAAAAGCTCTTTTTTCTGACTTCTGCTTACCAGCTTTATGCCTCCAAACTCAGCTGTTGCCATACCTTGCTTTGCTAACCATTCCAATGAGAAATCCAGGTAATAACATGGGTTTTTGTTTAATCCAAGTAGTAATGTTTTGTTTTGTTAATTTGAGAGAGAGAGAGAGAGAGAAAGCGAGCAAGCGCGACTGGGGCAAAGGGGGAGAAAGAGAGACATATTAAATTTTTTTTTTTTTAATGTTTATTTACTTTTGAGACAATGCGAGAGACAGAATGCAAGCAGGGGAGGGGCAGACAGAGGGAGACACAGAATCCGAAGCAGGCTCCAGCCTCTGAGCTGTCAGCACAGAGCCTGACGTGGGGCTCGAACTCATGAACCGTGAGATCATGACCTGAGCCAAAGTTGGATGCCTAGCCGACTGAGCCACTCACATGCCCCGAAAGAGAGATAATCTTTTTTTTTAATTTATTTATTTTTGGGACAGAGAGAGACAGAGCATGAACAGGGGAGGGGCAGAGAGAGAGGGAGACACAGAATCGGAAACAGGCTCCAGGCTCCGAGCCATCAGCCCAGAGCCTGACGCGGGGCTCGAACTCACGGACCGCGAGATCGTGACCTGGCTGAAGTTGGACGCTTAACCGACTGCGCCACCCAGGCGCCCCTAAAGAGAGATAATCTTAAGCAGGCTCCATGCTCAGTATGGAGCCCCACATGGGACTTGATCCCATGACCCTGGTATCATAACCTGAGCCGACATCAAGTTGGACACTCAACCAACTGAGCCACCCAGGCGCCCCCAAAAGTAGTGTTTTATAACCTTATCTTTTTAAAGTCAACTCATTGCTACAATCTAGTGAGACTAAATTTTTTTTCCATTATTTTTTGATCCAAAATTAACATGTTTCAGATTTGGAAAGGAAGAAAGAATTCAAATAATAATAGAAGTTAATAAAAAGAAAAACTAATAACCACAGGTAATTTCTTTTGAAAGATTGGTGTAAGTTCTTCCTGACGTTTTTCTGTGCATAGCAAATATTAGGCATATGCTTTAATTGGCATATATCACTTACCATGGATAGCACTCCATATGTTATAAATTAGTATTCAGTCAGCTCCTCAGACTGGGAAGTCCAAAATCAAGATACAGGCAGATGGTGAAGGCCTCCTCCCTAGCTTATAGATGGTCATCTTCTCGTATTCTCACATGGCAAAGAGCAGAGCAAGAGAGAGGTCTCTGTGATGTTCTTTTTGTAAATGTCAGAAATCCAGGATCATTTTATACTTTCTCTGCCCTAGTACTAGAATCAGGAATTCCAAGGAGCCCTGGTTCCTCTTAGTGGAAATGGTATTTAGAATTTAGGATCTGGGAGCACCTGGCTGGCTCAATAGGTAGAGCGTGTGACTCTTGATCTAGGGGTTTTGAGTTGAATCCCATGCTGGGCGTAGAGCCTACTTAAAAAAATTTAGAATCTGGCACTAGGTATGATCATTGGTATTGGAGTATCATTGTGTCTATTCTTTTTCAATGGAACAAAGCTAGGAGATTGTGTGTGTATTTGTGTGTGTGTGTGTGTGTGTGTGTGTGTGTGTAAGTTCTTCCTGACGTTTTTCTGTGCATGTATGTGTGTACCATGAGTTCACGCCAGTACATTCATTTTCAGCCTAACACTACAGAGTTTATTTTAACTTTTCCCAATTCAGTAACTCATACTGGTTTAGACAGCTTACATTGAAATTATCTGGAAAATCATTTATCCACTAGTTAAAAATTCAGATTATAGGATCACAATTCATTTTTCCATATGAAAAAGCTGTTTTTTAAAAAATCCTGATTCTGTTCTGGAGTGTATCTTTAAAAAGGTAAATATTGGGGCGCCTGGGTGGCTCAGTCAGTTGAATGTCCAACTTTGGCTCAGGTCATGATCTTGCGGTTCATGAGTTCAAGCCCCACGTCAGGCTCTGTGCTGACAGCTGAGCCTGGAGCCTGCTTCAGAATCTCTCCCTCTCTCTCTGCCCCTCCCCTGCTCGCGTGCGCATGCTCTCTCAAAAATAAATAAACATTAATAAATAAATAAATATTTATGAGCCCTCATAGTGTTGCATTTACAAACATTGAAATGTGTATAAAATTCATTCAGAAATAAGACGTTCTGGGGGTTCTTGGCTGCTCAGGTGGTAGAGTATGCAACTCTTGATTTTGGGGTCATGAGTTCAAGCCCCAAGATGCACATGGAGCCTACTTTAAAAGAAATTTTTTTTGGATTTTTGTTTTTATCATCTTTTTCCCCATTTACTGTGTCATTTTAGAAGTTATTTCTTGGGGCGCCTGGGTGGCGCAGTCGGTTAAGCGTCCGACTTCAGCCAGGTCACGATCTCGCGGTCCGTGAGTTCGAGCCCCGCGTCAGGCTCTGGGCTGATGGCTCGGAGCCTGGAGCCTGTTTCCGATTCTGTGTCTCCCTCTCTCACTGCCCCTCCCCCGTTCATGCTCTGTCTCTCTCTGTCCCAAAAATAAATAAACGTTGAAAAAAAAAAAGAAGTTATTTCTTTATATTTTTTCTGCTCCTATCTCTGTCTTTTATTCTGCTCCTCCATTAGTGTTTGTTGGTGTGCTTAAAGATATCCCACTTTCTTCTGCCAACCTTGGTCATTTGTTTTCACTCCATTTTCTCTGATTGTGCAATCTTTATCAGTCTCTGTTCAAGTTGATTGTTTTGCCAGTTCAAATCTATTGAACCCCTGTAGTGAGTCACTGTTCTGGGTGAGCGCTCAAGTGGGGGTAGTCTCTGATCATCTTGGCCGAGCCCCTCCTAGTGTGGTCCCTCCTGGCCCTATGAATGAGCTTGGGTGAGGACCAGTGGCAGTTAGAGGAGGAGGCAGTATTCTCGGCCTGCTGTGCTACTAGGATAGAGCTTCCATGCCAAGGGTTGGAGAAAGGGAGTCCCGAATTCTAGGCTGGCCACAGGAGGGAGGAAGTCCTATGAGTTCTTAGCTGTACCTGACTTGGAGTGAAGTCTCTCTAAAGCTGAGGAAGTGAAGGGGTGGGTCCTGGTTCAAATGCCACACTCTTGCTGTTAGATATTCCTGAAAAAAATGTTTCTTCACAGCATAAAATTTATCATCTTAAACCATTTTTAAGTATATAGTTTACTAGTGTTAAGCTTATTCACCTTGTACAACCAATCTCTAGAATTTTGTCATTTTGCAGAATTGAAACTACACACATTAAATGCTAACTACCTCCTACTCCCTGTCCACCACCTACCTTTTCTCTCTGAATTTTATTTTTAATTTTTTAATGTTTATTTATTTTTGAGAGAGAGAGAGAGACAGAGCATGAGCAGGGGAGAGGCAGAGAGAAAGGGACACACAGAATCTGAAGTAGGCTCCAGGCTCTGAGCTGTTGGCACAGAGCCCGATGTAGGGCTTGATTTCATGAACCATGAGATCATGACCTGAGCCAAAGTCAGATGCTTAACGCACTGAGCCACCCAGGCGCCCCTGTGTCTGAATTTAACTACTCTAGGTACCTCACATAAGTGGACTCATGCAGTATTTGTCCTTTTGTTACTGACTTGTTTTACCTAGCATGTCATCAAAGTTTTTATTATAGCATGTATCAGCATTTCCTTTTTAAGGCTGAAGAATATCACATTGTATATACCACATTCTGTTTATCCATTCATCTGTTGATGGACACTTAAGTTGCTTCCACCTTTTAGCTATTGTGAACAATGCTGCTGTTAACATGGGTATACAAATTACTCTTTAAGACTCTGCTGTCAGTTCTTTTGGGTGTATACCCAGAAGCGGAATTGCTAGATCATGTAGTAATTCTGTTTTTAATTTTAAGGAGCTGCCTTCCCATTTTCCACAGCATTTATACCATTTTACATTTCCACCAACAATGCCCAGGAGTTTCAGTTTCCATACATCTTTACCAAACCTTTTTTTTTTAATTTTTTTATAACAGACATCCTAAAAGATATGAAATGGATCCCATGGTTTTGATTTGAATTTTCCAAAAGATTCGTGATTTTGAGCTTTCTCTTTCCTTCCTTTCTTCCTTCCTTCCTTCCTTCCTTCCTTCCTTCCTTCCTTCCTTCCTTCCTTCCTCCCTCCCTCCCTCCCTCCCTCTCTCCCTCCCTCCCTTCCTTTCACGCAAGGGGGAGGGGTAGAGGGAGAGGAAGAGAATCTTAAGCAGGCTCCAAGCCTGGCATGGAGCCCAATGCAGGGCTCTATCTCATAATCCTGAGATCATAACCTGAATGGAAATCAAAAGTTAGACATTCAATCAACTGAGCCACCCAGGTGCCCTAAGTATCCATTGCTTGTTGGCCATTTACATATCTCCTTCAGAGAAATGTCTGTTTAAAGCTTTTTTAAAATCTCTGTTTCAGCTCAAATTTCTTTTATCCAAGATATTGGAAAGCTTCCTCTGAAGCGACACTTTGGAAGGTAAGCTGTTTTAATTTTCAAAGAACTGTTACTGAAATGTCCACTGAATGTGATCTACTTATTCAGTATACAACCAATAAAAATTTATCTGTAATCTTCCAGTTAACAAATCTTACGTATTTGGAAACCTCTTTTAACCTTTCCTCCCAAGATGTTCTTAGTTTATTTTTTTTCCTAATATTTTTTTAAAATATTTATTTTTGAGAGAGAGAGTTGGGGCGGGGAGAGACAGAGGATCCGAAGTGGGTTCTACACTGACAGCAGCAAGCCTGATGCAGAGCTTGAATTCACAAACGAGATCATGACCTGAGCCGAAGTTGGGCAACTGACCGAGCCACTCCAGTGCTCATTAGCCGATGTTTAAAGCCTGCAGGAACTAGGAACTACCACAAAAGTACTGTCTTTTTTAAACTTCCTTATTTTAAAAGATTCAGACAAATAAAACCTAGATGTAGAGAGGTAAATCTGTATCTGTGCTATTCATTTTATTGCAAATGACTGCTGGGCTGATATCAGTGATTAACACAACACCTATATTTCATTTCTTCTTAGCGTATCTGTAAGATCAAATTATGTATTCAGGCATTTAATTATTTATTAATGTTTTATTTTACTTTTTATCTTACTTTAGAAAGAGAGAGCACAGATGGGGAAGAGGGCAGAGAGAGAGAATCCTAAGCAGGCCCCACTCTCAACTTCAGAGCCTGATGCAGGGCTCAGTCCCACGACCCTGGGATCATGACCTGAGCCAAAATCAAGAGTCAGATGCCCAACCGACTGAGCCATCCAGGCACCTCTGTACTTAGGCATTTTTTTAAAGGTTTAAAAGGGCTTTTTAACTGCTCTTTTTGGTTCAACTACTTGATCTATCTTGGGAGACAGGATTTGTCAGTGCTACTTACTACAGTGACTAGTACTTTATCTTTCATTCATTATGACCATATTTAACCTTATCATTGATTCATGTTGACAATATTAAATATGAATATTTAGCTTGACATTTAATATTAATATTTAATAGTTTTCTAGTTTCCTGTAATCCAACCTACACCTTATTTTTGTACATTTAGCTAATTTCCAACTTTATCACAGCTTTTCTTGTAGCTTAAATCATTGCTGTTCCTAGGTCATGTAGTAATTCTGTTTTTGATCTTTTAAGGAGCTTCCTTACCATTTTCCACAGCAATTACACCATTTTACATTTCCACTAGCAATGCTCAGGAGTTTCAGTTTCCACATATCTTTGCCAAGTCTTTTTTTTTTTTTTTCTATTTTTTTATAACAGACATCCTAAAGGATGTGAAATGGCATCAAATGTTATTTACATAGGATGTATTCCTAGAAATGAAGTTGCTGGATAAATGGTCATACACTTTTTTGAAGCCTTTGCTCTATATTGCCAGATTGCTCCTAAGAATATTTTGCTAATTTTATGTCCCCTTACAGTGTATAAGCATATTCTTTTCTCCTAACTCTTGACACTTCTGGGTTTTTATTACTTACTTGGGGCACCTGGCTGGCTCAGTTGGAAGAGCATGCAACTCTTAATCATGAGATTGTGTGTTTGAGCCCCATGTTAGATGTAAAGATTATTTAAATAAATAAAAGATAGGTAGGTAGGTAGATAGATAGATAGATAGATAGATAGATAGATAGATAGATAGATAGATAGTCTTGGCCTATCTTAAAGATTATAGTACTAGTTCATTATTTTAATTGCATTTTTTAAAATTATTGATTAGGTTGAACAATTTGTTTACTTACCATTTGTACTTTTTTTATGTAAGTCGTCCGTGTTTTATACCCATTTTTCTATTCTGTATTTTCTTTTTAATTTGTAAGAACTCTTTACAAGTTTTTGTATTATAAGTTGTAATGATTTATTCACATTTTGTCATTTACCTTTGTATTTTTGTTTATATCATTAAATAAGCTAAAGGGCCTGGCTAAACAGTGAGCACAGTGAAAGTAGATGAAAAACTAGAGATGGCTTCATAATCATCACACACATGGTGTAATTTAAAGGCATCCCCTTATTTGGTTATTATTGATGCCTGCATTATGAATCTGGCAGGTTGAAAATGGAAGCCCTGACGGACAGGGAGCATGGAATGATAGACCCTGACAGTGGAGATGAAGCCCCGCTTCCTGGAAGGCAGCCTGCAGAGGAAGCTCTGGGTGAACCCACTCAAACCACTGAAACTGAAACATGCTGTCTTCCTTTGAGTCAGAATAGTGGGAGTGAACTGCCTGCCAGCCAGCCTCAGTCCTTTTCAGCGCAGGGAGACCTGGAAGATGAAGAGATGATCATAGAAGACTATGAGAGCGATGGGACATAGAAACCAGCCTGCCAATCATATTGCTACTTGGCAGATTCATTTTCCTTTTATTCAGTGGTACCTGAACAGAGATAATATACTTTTCAAGTGAATGACAGTTCAGTTCTTCACCCTCGTAGTATTTCAGCACAAGAAACTGACTCCTCTGTCATTTTGAAGTAAACAGAAGATCAAGCTTCAAATAATACCTTAATTTTGTTTTCTCTAGTATTTATTGAGTCTTGTGAGTGGTGCTGGGAGTAGGTCAGTGTGTATGAAGTGTGTTTGAACATTATGCCAAATATCAAACAATGTGAAGGAATGATTCTGAATATTAAAACTTGATGGGGCTGTAAATACAAATTATAAAAGTTTAGTATGCAATGATGAGTGTAAATAAACTTTGTGCCTTATCCACAGTTTCTCTATGGTCTCTAACTTCTCAAATACCATTTTTATATGCTGTACACTGGACTATTTTAGATACTTTATGGAAAGTAATTTATATCAAAATTAAAATGTTGAATTTCTTTTCGTTTCCTCTTTTAGTATTTCCTAACATGTATTGTCGGCAAGGTATCATTGGGCATAATACATGAATCTCCTTTATCCATTGTTAACACTTTTCAGAAAAGTAAGAGAACCTTGCAAAGAGAACTCTGGAGGTCGGTGAATCTCACCTTCACTACCTTTCCAAGCCATGTATGCGCATGCGCGGCGCGGGTTTGTAACAGCAGCTCTGAGGTGCGGGGGCGGTCCCCGACCCTCCCCGGCTCCTAGCCAGAGTCCGGTCCCGACAAAGCCGGGCGGGGCAAAAGTGGCTCGGCTCCGCCCCGGGAGCTGAGCCTGGTTTCGGCGCCGCGGGCGGCGAGCGCGCTCTTCCCGGCGGCCGCGCAGGTGAGGGGGCGCGAGGGGTGGGGCCTACGTGATCCGGCCGTGGACGGGGAGGGCCCGGCGGCCCCCGCAGGTGAGCAGGTCGGGAGGGCGAGGCCGTGGGGTCTCAGCGCGCTCCTGGTCCTGCTGCGCTCTCCGTTCAGCCCCGCCAAAACCTTCGGCCGAGACCAGACGGCGGCGCGGAGAGAGGTAAGGGCCACGGGGAGAGCGGGGCCAGCGCGTCGGGAGGGCCCCTCAACTAGCGCGCTTTCATCCAAGGGACACAGGTGCGCCGCGAGACGCGCCCCGCCGGCCGCGAAGGCGCCGCCCTTCCCTGGCGCGGGGATCCTCCTATCCTGACCGGGGCACCAACTTAGTTCCGGCCGCTTTGGGGCGGCATCTCGGAAGACTGAGAATTGGTTTTCCCTGGGACGCGAAGCAGGAGCGCTCCCTGGGGTAGTTCCCTGGGGTGGGCAGAGCCGAAGACTGAACGGGATTCTGGGACCGGACGCGAAACGGCAGGCTCGAGGGAGACCCCAGCGAAGATGCTGGGTGTCACATTGCACTCACGCGTGGGTTAAAACCCTCAGGGAGCTTTCCCAACCCCTAGGAAGAGCAGAAACATCTCTTGGGCCCAGCAAAACTTTAAAGCTGGCTAAAGCGATGATTCTGTTTTTGGAGAGGCTACCGAGTTCGGTTGCCGTGTCACTTTCCTGGGGGAAACCATTTCTCCTCCCACCGACGTGGCGTTCAGAGCTGTGAGTTCCAACAGAATGGAGTCAGGGTCCAGGGGCTTGACCAAAACAAAGACCCACTGTGCCTCAGCATGCTGAATCCAAGTGGGCTCTCAGTGACACCCTGAACCATACAGGAGGGGTAGCCAGATAACTAACGTGATAAAATACCGCTGACCATTCCCTTCTAAAATCACGTGTTATGTTAATTGCATGATTCTTCAAATTTATTGTTTTTGTATTTTATTTAAACGTGAATAAGATAGTCTAATTCAAATGAGCCACTTTGCATTGATGAAGATAAGGTAAACCCATTACAATGAAGCACCCTTTTTTTTTAACCTGTGTGTTAAATTAAGCAAGGATATCCTTTACATGGGTATGTATCAGGGGCCCATGGATGGCTTGGTGGGTTGAGCGTCTGACTCTTGATTTCCGCTCAGGTCATGATCAGGTTGTAGGGTGGGATCCAGCCCCGTATAGGGCTCCACGCTCACCGTGGAGCCTGCTTAAGATTGTTTCTTTCTGCCCTTCCCCTGCTTGCGCCCTCGCTCTCTCTCTCTCTCTCGCCATAAATAAAACTTTAAAAACTATTTAAAAATGTAAACAAGGTTAAGAAAAAAAATTTTTATTCTATGTTTTTAGACACAGATGAACTAAATGACAGAGAAAAAAATAATCCTTAATTGATGTCATTTATAGAGCTGCCACTTTGGGCACCATGCTGGGACTTTCAGAGTTAATTCTCTAAAATTGGAGTACCCCAGGGATGTCTGGGTGGCTCAGTTGGTTAACCATCAGACTTGCGCTCAGGTCATAATCTCACTGTTGGTGGGTTAAGCTTCACCTCAGGTTCTGTGCTGACAGCTCAGAGCCTGGAGCCTGCTTCAGATTCTGTTTCTGCCTCTTTCTCTCTCTCTCTGCCCCTCCCCTGCTCATGCCCTGTCTCTCTCTCTCTCCCACTCTCCCTCTCTCTCACTCTCAAAAATAAACATTAAAAAAAATTTTTTTTTAATTTTTTTTAAGGGTTGTATTCATTTTTCAGAGATCTTGCATGAGAGGGGGAGGGGCAGAGAGAGAAGGAGACAAAGAGTCGAAACAGGCTCCAGGCTCCGAGCTGTCAGCACAGGGCTTGAACTACAAACTGTGAGATCATGACCTGAGCTGAAATCGGACGCTCAACTGACTGAGCCACCCAGGCACCCCTAAAAAAAATTTTGTTTAATTGGAGTGCCTCACTAAAAGACCCAGAAATTTAGAACTCTCCATTTTCACCTATTCCTTGGGTGATTGTATCTAATCTATGGTATTACTTACCTTTCTGTGTGTGTACTGCCTACTGGATGTATCTGCCTGGATTTTTTTTTTTTTTACATTTTTTTAATGTTTTTATTTATTTTTGAGAGAGAGAGAGGGGCAGGGGGAGAGGCAGAGAGTGAGGAAGACAGAGGATCTGAAGCAGGCTCTGTGCTGATAGCACAGAGGGACTGGAACCCACAAACCCTGAGATCATGACCTGAGCTGAAGTCAGAAGCTTAACCGACTGAGTCACCCAGGCGCCCCTCTCTACCTGGATTTCTAATGGGTATCTTCAGACTCTTCAGACTGCTTATACCCAGCGTTAAACTGGAGGGGTGGAGAAATGTTGCGTATGAAATGATCTCGTGTCTGAGATTTGCTTCAAAGCAATCTATTGGCAGAAGGAATAAAGTAGGAGGTATAGAGGAAAGAAGATTGGTCATAAATTGATAATTATTGAAGCTGGTTGATGGGTACATAAGGGTTCATAATGCTATTCTTTCCACTTTTTATTATGTTTGAATGTTTCTTTAGGAAAAAAATTAATTCCCTGTATTTAAAAATCTGACTTCTTTTTATCTCCATTGTTATCACCGTGGTCCTTTGGACTAAATCTGTTGCCTCTTAGCCATTCTCCCTGTTTTCTCCCTTGTCTCCTGGAGCGTACCCTTGACATAGCATCCAGAGTGATCCTATTTTTTTTTTTTTTTCAACGTTTATTTATTTTGGGGACAGAGAGAGACAGAGCATGAACGGGGGAGGGGCAGAGAGAGAGGGAGACACAGAATCGGAAACAGGCTCCAGGCTCTGAGCCATCAGCCCAGAGCCTGACGCGGGGCTCGAGCTCCCGGACCGTGAGATCGTGACCTGGCTGAAGTCGGACGCTTAACCGACTGCGCCACCCAGGCGCCCCCAGAGTGATCCTATTAAAACAAGTCAGATCCTGGGGCACCTGGGTGGCTCAGTGAGTTGAGCGCCCGACTTCGGCTCAGGTCATGATCTCACAGTCTGTGAGTTCGAGCCCCGCGTCGGGCTCTGTGCTGACAGCTCAGAGCCTGGAGCCTGCTTCAGATTCTGTGTCTCCCTCTCTCTCTGCCCCTCGCCTGCTCACACTCTGTGTCTCTTTCTCTCTCAAAAATAAAAATTAAAAAAAAATAAAATAAGTCAGATCCTGTCGCTTCTCTACTCAAAATGCTCCATTGGCTTTTCATCTCACTTCCAATAATAGCCAGAATTCTTTCCAATGGTTTTCAAGACCCTAGTGATTCAAATGGACTTAATTCTACTACTTACCCTCTCCTCTCTGTTACTACTTGCTGCCCCATTGTCCTCCATGACTTAATAGTTCTTGAACTTGCTGAGCACTCCCACCTCAAGGCTTTTGCAGCAGCTGGACCTCCTGCAGCCTGGACCTCTTCCCCTGATAACCTGTCTGGCTTCCTCCTTCACATCCTTCATTTGTGTATTCAGATGTCATATTCTCTATGGAGACTTCCAGTGTCATTCTATTTAGAATTATAATATCCTGCCCACAAAGTACCTTCTCACCATTCTTAGTTCCTTAGCGTCTGATCAGATGTCTTTCACTTCCTTTATCTATCATCTTTTATCCCTTCATTGAGATTTAATTTCCATGAAGGCAGGGATTTCAGTTGGTTTTGTTCACTGATACACTTTCAGTGTGCCTGGTACATGGTAGATGTTTGGCAAATATTTGTTGAATGATAGGTCTCCATTTTACAAAATAAAATAAAACAAAGCCTTAGTGGAACCCTGGGTGGCTCACTCAGTTAAGTGTCCTGCTCTTGGTTTCAGCTCAGGTCATGATCTCACGATTTGTGGGTTCAATCCCTGAGTCAGCGAAGAGCCTGCTTGGAATTCTCTCTCCCTCTCTCTCTCAGTCCCTTCCTGGCTATCGCTTTCTCTCTCTCTCTCTCAAAATAAATTTAAAAAATAAACTTAAAAAAACAAAACAAAACAAAACAAAGCCTTAGGGGGTGCCTGGGTGGCTCAGTTAGTTAAACGTCTGACTCTTGATTTCGGCTCAGGTCACTATCTCATGGTTTGTGAAATCAAGCCCCACATCAGGCTCCCAAGCTGACAGTGTGGAGCCTGCTGAAATTCTCTCTCTCTCCCTCTCTCTCTCTGTCACTCCCCTGCTCATTGCTTCTCTCTCTCTCTCTCAAAATAAATAAAGAAACTTTAAAAAAAAAAAAAAAGAAGCTGGGGCACCTGGGTGGCTCAGTTGGTTAAGCATCTGACTTTGGCTCAGGTGATGATGTTGCGGTTCATGAATTCGGACCCCACGTTGGGATCTGTGAGCAGCCTGGAACCTGCTTCAGATTCTGTGTCTCCCTCTCTCTCTCTGCTCACGCTCTGTCTCTCTCTCTCTCTCTCTCTCTCTCTCTTAAAAATAAACACTAGGGGGAAAAAAGCCTTAGGAATTTCTAAATGGTTCAACCCCGTAAAGGCAGGATTCTTCATTTAAAATTTGAGACCTTCATGGTACCAAGTACAATGCTATATGGCCGGTGAGTCTTTAGCAAATACTTGCTTTATGAGGGAGATACTTGCTTTAGTAAATACTTGCTTCATGAGCAATATGAGGGAGAAATTCATTGTGCCTTAAACCTAGTAGTTACATTAGCAGAAAGTGTCCTCCTTTTTTTATACGTGTCCAGGTCATTGATTGTGTGAAAGAAATCAAACAGGTTTAGTGAAAGTGCTTTTTCTGTGCCTTATTTTTTAGGTGGCTCAAACCCCCTCTGAGATACTTTCTGAGTGTCATTATGGCAACAGCAGATCACCTTGAGGTGGCTGCACTGGAAAGAGTGACATACATGATATACATGGCTGTTCTGTGTTGTACTTTTGGGGAATCTTAAGCTTTGGTGGCTTTTTTTTTCCTCTGAGTTTTCAAATTTCAAAATCTAAGGGGTGCCTGAGTGGGTCAGTCGGTTAAGCGTCCGACTTCGGCTCAGGTCATGATCTCACGGTTTGTAAGTTCGAGCCCCACATCCGGCTCTGGGTTGGCAGCTCGGAGCCTGGAGCCCGCTTCAGATTCTGTTTCTCCCTCTGTCTACCCCTCTCTGCTTGCACTCTGTCTCTCGCATTGTCTCAAAAGTAAATAAACATTAAAAAAAAAATTTCAAAATCTAATATGAAGTGTTAATATTTTAGAGTGGAAGAAGCAAGGCCCCTACACTGACTTCCCTGATTTAAGAAAGAAAGGTGCTCTTCACTCCCTGTGTTTATCAGACTGCTTCTCCCAGGCCTTTCCAAAGCAGATTTGAGGTAATGAAAATGAAGAGAATTTGCTGACCTGTCAAACTTTGGTATGCCCAAACAATTAAATATTTTGATTTAGATGTTTGAAGAAAGGATTCTATTTGGGATGTGTCAGTATCCTGTATTGTTAAAATTTGGTGTCCGTTATGGTGTTTACAGTCTGTTGTTCATAGGGCTCGTAAGGTAAGTTAGACTTATAAATGTTTTAATTCAGACCTAAGATTTTAAATTTTGATTCCCCTTAAAATCATGTAGAACGATGATGATATCCCTGGCTAGTATGTTACATATGTTTAAAATATACCTGTTTATGGTATCATTTTTACATATCATGATCGTTGGACATGATCATATTGGTTTCCTAAATATGATCATCTGCCATTAAGTGGATAAAATCAGCATCGTTGAAAGAATAAATAACTAGGCATAAGTGATAACTTTTATCTTGGCCACAGGTATAAAAATCACAAATGTCGTCCAGTGATGGAAGATGCAAGATTCGGGACAGGCACTATGATGAGGTCCCAAGGGACTCACCCTATGAAGATGGCACCATAGGAACCCTCCAGACTCTTCATGACAGTGAGCTGGCCGTGAGCGCTGATCCCTTGCCACCACCCCCTCTCCCATTACAGCCACCATTCGGCCCAGACTTCTACTCAAGTGACACAGAGGAACCGGCCATAGCGCCAGATCTCAAACCCGTAAGGCGCTTTGTCCCTGAGTCCTGGAAGAACTTCTTCAGAGGGAAGAAAAAGGACCTGGGATGGGATAAGCCGGTGTCTGACATCAGATACATCTCCGATGGAGTGGAGTGTTCACCTCCGTCCTCTCCAGCAAGACCAAACCACCGTTCACCCCCCAACTCCGACAAAGATCCTTACGGAGGGTCAGAAGGAACCTTCAGTTCCCCAAAAGAGGCTGAGGCAATGTTTCCCCACGACCCGTACGGTTCACTAGGCCGCCACACACAGACAGCCCGAACGTACAGTGAGAAGGTGGAGGAGTATAACCTGAGGTATTCCTACATGAAGTCGTGGGCAGGCCTGCTGCGAATTCTGGGTGTGGTGGAGCTGCTCTTGGGAGCTGGTGTCTTTGCCTGTGTCACGGCTTACATTTACAAGGACAGCGAGTGGTATAACTTGTTCGGATATTCACAGCCCTATGGCATGGGAGGCCTCGGTGGCCTGGGCAGTACGTACGGGGGCTATTACTACAGTGGCCCCAAAACCCCTTTTGTACTCGTGGTTGCTGGATTAGCTTGGATCGCCACCGTTATTATTCTGGTTCTTGGCATGTCCATGTATTATCGGACCATTCTTTTGGATTCTAACTGGTGGCCTCTGACCGAATTTGGAATTAACGTTGCCTTGTTTATTTTGTATATGGCTGCAGCCATAGTCTATGTGAATGATACCAACCGAGGGGGACTCTGCTACTATCCATTATTCAATACACCGATGAATGCATTGTTCTGCCGGGTAGAAGGAGGACAGATAGCAGCGATGATCTTCCTGTTTGTCACCATGATTGTTTATCTTGTTAGTGCTTTGGTTTGCCTAAAGTTATGGAGGCATGAGGCAGCTCGGAGACATAGGGAATACATGGAACAGCAGGAGGTAAGGAACTTCATAATCCTTCATTCATTTTTAATTTTTTTCCTGTTATTTATCCCCTTGTTAAATATACATAGTTCTTAAAACAAAAATTTTATAAAAGGCTTTTTTAAGTTTATGTTGTTTATTTTGAGAGAGAGAGCATGTGAGTGGGGTAGGGGCAGAGGGTGAGAGAGAGAATCCCAAGCAGTCTCCCTGCTGTCAGTGCAAAACCTGACACAGGGCTTGATCTCATGAACCATGGGATCATGACCTGAGCTGAAATGAGGAGTCAGGCATTTAACTGACCGAGCCACCCAGGTGCCCCCCCGCAACCTTTTTGTTTTAATGATCTGAAGTTCAAGAATCCTACCTCATTGACTGACCTGCTTTGGGTGGGATCACCCACTCTGTCACTGTTCTAGAACATTGCAGGTAGGTACCAGATGTGTAAATACAGTATATAGTTTGTCGATTACATTATGTCTGTGATGCTTAAGGGGAAAACACAGCTACTGATTCTTACAACTAAGAATAAGACCATATTCAGTACAATAAATGTCTCCCCGTTAAAATAAGTTTAAGAACAGTGTTGATTCTTTAATATGGTAAAGCTTAACTAAAAAAAAATAACTTTTCAATTATAAGGAGAAAGTGCTTATTTACATGTTATGATGAGTGACACTTTCTTCCGGTGACTTAAATAAAGTGAAGTAAGAATACAGTGAACCGGGGGCACCTGGGTGGCTCAGTCGGTTAAGTGTCCGACGTCGGCTCAGGTCATGATCTCACGGTCCGTGAGTTTGAGCCCCACATAGGGCTCTGTGCTGACAGCTCAGAGCCTGGAGCCTGCTTCCGATTCTGTGTCTCCCTCTCTCTCTGACCCTCCCCTGTTCATGCTCTGTCTCTCTCTGTCTCAAAAATAAACATTAAAAAAAAAAAAAAAGAATACAGTGAACCATATTTGATTTTTTTCAAGTATCAAGAGGCTGAATGGTCATGAACATACTCTGAACACTTGCCTGGGCATTTTGATGTTTCATTCTTACTTTGGGGAAAAGAGTGTTCCCAAAATTAGAATGGGAGTCTGGCACTTGTTTTTATTTGTAGGATTTAACTAATTAAATATAAGAAGGAGGAGAATTAATAATAATAATATAATAACAATGCCTGAGGGATAAGATTATATAGAAGCCATATTTAAAATTTTTTGAACAGGAGCATCTGGGTGGCTCAGTTGGTTAAGCATCCTACTTCGGCTCAGGTCATGATCTCACAGTCTGTGAGTTCGAGCCCCGCATCAGGCTCTGTGCTGACAGCTTGGAGCCTGGAGCCTGCTTCAGATTCTGTGTCTCCCTCTCTCTCTGACCTGACCCGTCCCCATTTC